AACATGGCTGATATTAAACTTATTTTGTCTAAATTAATTATAATTTAAATTATTATATATTTTGTCATTTGAATACATTTATAATACAATTATAGCATGTAAATATAAATTTAATACAACTTGTTTAGAATGTAATTTAAAAAATAATAATTTCATAACATGTTAGAATTGTAAAAAGTCATTCAAATGTATTTATAAAATCTATCAGGCACCATCTTGCGGCGCTGGAAGAGGAACTGGTTTGACCTCTGGTCAGATGGACGTCTGGTCTTCTACGAGGACCAGCAGCGGCGGGACATGGAAGACGAGATCCACATGAAGGTGGACTGCATTAACATCCGCAATGCCAGCGCATGTAGAGGTGGGTGTGATCCGCATTTCAGTCTTCATCTGCCGTCTTTCCTTCTGCTTTTGAACCGTGGAAGATGCGAAAACCTCAAAAGTGCCTTTGACATTATGGCTGTCAAAAAAAAAATCAAATTTCGAATATTCGTCGAATTAAAAAAAATAAATCCACATTTTTAGGTCTGCGTCAGCCAGCTTATCAGTGGCGCACGAGATGCGACGATGATGTAAGTGTCATTGCATTTGAATGCTTTTGTTAGCCTATTCAGTTGAACCCAATAGATGCGGCGCTGCTACGTTGTTCATTCATATATTGCGGAAAACGAGAGCATCAGTGTGGAGAAGTTGTTGTTTACGTCAAAACTGAAAACAAGCCGTTCACACAGAACGCATATTTATCACATTTTCTAGAGGGACATCTATCAGCATTGCACTCGCGTCTCGCACAAGAGAGCAGCATGTTTAGAAAGCCATGTCAAATTAATACAAGTTCAACTTTTAAAAAACATGTCTCAAGGCTTTATGGCGGTTTTTCCCCATCCCACTGTATCTCATGTTTTTAAATGAAGAAAGTAGCCTACTCTTTGTGATTGGTTTTCGGTCCTTTGTATTAAAGGGGTGGTTGATTACGATTTCACTTTTTTAATGTTAGTTAGTGTGTAATGTTGCTGTTGGAGCATAAACAATATC